GCATTTATCAGCTCTGCAGGAGCTTCGAAACACTTGTTCAAGTAGGGTAGAGACCAAGAGGACACGTGGCTGAGAGACTGGGAACCAGAGAGACACACGCCTGCCAGCATGGTTGAAGAGAGCCCTGCTGCAGACAAAAGGACTATGTCTTTAATGTTCTCTGATCTTGATTTATTGCAATCAGTTAACTTCCCTAATAATTGGGAATATTTCCTGTAAGTTCTGTGTAGCCATTGCAGCCAATTATAGTACCCAGCAGAGAAATGGAGTACAGTGAGAAGGATGGTTGGCGTCAGGATAGAATGAAGAAGGATGGCGAGTGGAAACATGTGTGAACCCTGCCTCTTAGGAATCAGCCTTGAGCTGGCGTGGAGTTGAATTCCCCTTCCCTTTGGCATAGTTAGAGGTCAGACAGGGCCCCCATGCCATTTCCACAACTGACATGGGGAATGAAATGTGTTGCAATGGCTCCAGACGACTCATGAATGTATGGGACGTTGTAACAGAAGGAACAATGGGGCATGGGAAGTGAAATATTTGATTTGGGTACGTTGGTGATTTTTCACCTGGAGTGGCTGAAAGGAACGTAAGACGTGTTAAACTACAGTTGAGGGGAGAAAATGTGTTTCTGAAGTGACCCGGAGAAAAAGCCAGATGGGTTAAAGAAGATGGCTGATAGAAATCCAAGGCCTGCCCAAGACCCAAGGTCCTGCACATATAAATGGGATAGTCCTGGGTGGAGAAGAGAACATTGAGGGTTTTATTTTCATGTATTTATTTTTCATTGAGTGTTTTAAAATGGACTATGTGTTTAGGGTTATGAATTTAACTGACTGTACATCAGATATTAGGTTCTCTTACCTTGTATTGTAAAAGAGACACATAGGTATGATAGAAATGAATACTGAGGATTATGATTACAGGAGGTTTGTAAGCTCATATTCAGACTGTACTTAACTGGGTTTGCTAAAGGGGAATTAGGAACTACCTGAAGAAACAGGCTTTTTGTATTTCAAACCAAAGTAGAATATGGGATCTCAGATAGAAAATCTGAGCCCAATGCAGAATTTTCAGTGTTAGGGTATTTTTATTTGACAATACATGCAGACAGATCCATTGACAACTCCCGAAAGAATAGGAGATGTACCTTTGAAGGAAAAACCTGCAAAAACAACAAAAAATCTGCTTTTTAAATTTATAGCAGGAGGCTTAGTTTTGGAAGCACCCAGGCAGGTAAGCTCTGTGCCTGTCAGGGAAAACTCCTCTCTGGGAGCCAGCAAGAAGCCTTATATGCATACTGTTGTGATGACCTGGGTCCACTTATTGAGGGGAAGTGTGGGAACCATCAACAAAGAGGTGGGCTGAGTTTGGACATGTTACATTGGCACCTGTTGACCTGGTCCACAGAGGCTAAAGATGAGAAGAGCGTGGGCTCACTGATCTGAAGTTTAAGTTGTGTGTATCCTAAGCCCATGAGCACCAACTTAGTCGTAGGTGCTGGGACCAATGAGAGTGTGTGGAGGAGTCAACTAGTCTGTAGTGCACATAGTTGTGTGTGAACTCCCAAGAGAGTAGCTGGTAGTCACTTGACTTAGGTTGGATATCTAGGGCTGAGTTGATCTTAACCCAGCCAAATGAAGAGAGAGAGATTTGACACTGTGAGATTATACAAACTGCAACAAGTTTGAAGACCTGCTCTCTATTGGCCTTTGCTTGAGTATGAAGGTACTTAAAGTTCCAACTGAAATGAAGATTCTTCATATCAAAGAGTTCAGAGTACTGGGTTGATAGGGACAGGCAATTTAGAAAACTATATATATAGAACATGGGGGGAGATAAAGGCATGAAGTGGTTGGCTTACATGCTTTCCTAGATGTGTTGAATCTCAAAATGGAGGGATAAGGGAGTCACCCCACTGAATTACTTTCCTTTTTTCTTGATGGGTCTGGGAAGAGAACTGGGGAAGATATCGATAGAAGTATAGGATTCAGTAGTAAGTGATTGTTATCAGAGTTACTTGTCATTGTGGAAGATGTAAGTGTGAAAAAGAGAGGTGGTTAATTCTTCATGTATAATAGAGACGGTGGCTACAACAGCCAGAAGGTGGTTTGCAGTGAAATGAAATTATTTAGTAAGGTATGGCTCTTTTATCACTAGTATTGTAACTCTTACCAAATGATTGGGTGGGACTATGCAAATAAAGTATGTGATAGTCTAATAGACAAGATTGATCAATTGTTGTTATATAAATTATATATGTATCTTTAAATATGGGAGTTGAGCAATCACACATAAAATAAAAGTTTTATACATTTTGCATATGTACTTTCCCCTTCATTTTAGACTTATTGGATATAAATTCACCTTCAGTTCTCTCTTATCAACCACATAAGACTGTGGCAGTGACCATTCCATGATGCTCACCTTCCCGACACAATCACTGAAGACAAATGGGTACATAAGCAAATGTGGTGAAGAAAGCTGATGGTGCCCGGTTATCAAAAGATACAGTGTCTGGGGTCTTAAAGGCTTGAAAGTAAACAAGTGGCCATCTAGCTCAGAAGCAACAAAGCCCACATGGAAGAAGCACACCAGCCTGTGTGATCACAAGGTGTCGATGGGATCAGGTATCAGGCAGCAAAGAACAAAAAATCATATCATTGTGAATGAGGGGGAGTGTGGACTGGGGATCCAAAGCCCATCTGCAGGCAACTGGATATCCCCTTACAGAAGGGTGTTGGGGGGAGACAAGCCAGTCAGGGTGAAGGGTAGCAACAATGAAACATACAACTTTCCTCTAGTTCTTAAATGTTTCCTTCTCCCCTCCCCCACTATCATGATCCCAATTCTACCTTGCAAATCCAGCTAGACCAGAGGATGTACACTGGTACAGATAGGAACTGGAAACATGGGGAATCCAGGACAGATGATCCCTTCAGGACCAGTGGTGAGAGTGGCGATACCTGGAGGGTGGAAGGAAGGTGGGGTAGAAAGGGGGAACTGATTACAAGGATCTGCATATAACCCCCTCCCTGGGGGACAGACAACAGAAAAGTGGTGAAGGGAGATGTCAGACAGTGTAAGACATGACAAAATAATAATAATTTGTAAATTATCAAGAGTTCATGAGGGAGGAGGGGCGGGGACGGAGGGGGGGAAATGAGAAGTTGATACCAATGGCTGAAGTAGAAAGCAAATGTTTTGAGAATGATAATGGCAATAAATGTACAAATGTGCTTGACACGATGGATGGATGGATGGATGGATGGATGGATTGTGATAAGAGTTGTATGAGTCCCCAATAAAGTGATTTAAAAAAAAAGAATGTGCCAGTGGCACTGTGATCACATGCCTTGTGATGTATCTGGCCCTGTCCTGTGAAAAGCAAACAAAAGCACATTTTCAAATTTGTATCATATTCTCTGTAATCAGTTTCACCCCCACTGAGTTTTAGCAGTAGTGCCATTAACGCTGAAGACACAACATCAAAAGATGGAAGGTGACTGTGAAAGTTTTTAAATTATGATTTCAAGTCAACACTTGTGATCTGTGGAAGGGGTACCGTCAGTGAGCCAGTATGTTTTGTGGGTCATAACAATATTAATCAACTTCTTAAAAGAAAGTCATCTAAGTTGTCTGAGTTTTCATTTAGTTTCTCAAAAATTGTTCAATTTCCTTACACAGATATACATAAAAATATTCTGAGAACTATAAATAAAACATTATTTATATAATATATATATTATATAAATAAATATATAATACTATATTATATATTTTTATATAATTATATATAATTACTATAAATAAAACAATATCCCTGTTGCTTCCTTGGAAGATTAATTTAGGAATATATTTTGTGTGATACTTAATTTTGTATCCTCTCTATATCTCATTTATTAACCTATATAGAGTAATGGCAAGTACTGTGTCCCTTACAACATAGGAAGGAAACTCACTTGATATATAAATTAAAACTTTTTGTGTTAGATAAATATTAGCATTTCTAGGATTTGGGGGTACTTGATGGGTTGATATTACATTATTCATTACCCATGTTACATCAAGCTTACCTGCCATCCAGTGGATTCTGACACAAAGCCTATCTTTCTTCTGAGGAGAGGCGGGTGGGTTTGAAGGAACCACTTAGCAGTAAGTGCCCCCAAAAGCAAAAGCAAACTCACTGACCTTGAACCCATATCAAGTCACAGCGACTCTGTGTAGGGCAGGGCAGAACTGACTCTGAATTTCCAAGACCTTGAGCATCACAACCCAATATGTAACTACTACTCCACCAGGGCTCCTTAATATATAAAACATCTTTCAAATAATTCATGTAGATATAATGCAAATCAGCCTAGTCTTTTAAAACAGGTTCAAGACACTGCCACTAGGGCTCCTGTTACTAATATGCGACATAGAGAATAATATCTACTTTGTTATACTTCTTTGAGGACTTTTTTGAGTTGATACCTGTGAAATCGCCCTTAGTAAAAAGGAAGCATTGTCAGTTGCCGCCACAGCAGCTTCTCAAAATGGGCCGTTAATCCCAAATTCCAGGAATTTTGTTCTCTTCCGTTTCAAGGACGGCAATCAGTAACCACACCTTTATAGCTGAAGCTCACACTAAGCGAACAAGAAGCCGCTTTAAACTTTGCAGACAAGAAATACACTTAACTGGTGGCGGGACCCAGTTTGAAAGCACATCCACCCCCCGCCCCCGTCCTCACTCCACTGGATTGTGGGAAATGTAGTCTCTCGCTCCAGCAGCGGGAGTACACCAAAAGCGGGTAGGAAACTACAAGTCCCAAGAGGAGCCGAAGCGGGACTATTTCCCAGTCGGGCGGTAGCTCCTCGGGAGGGAATTGGCAATCTCTCTGCCTACGTGGGAGAGAAGGGAGGGTTGGGGGAAGTGTGGCGAGCCAGCACCTGAGCCGCTACCGCCCGAGGAAGGTTTGGTGGGCGAAGTGCAGGAGAAGACACGGGTGCAGTGGGGAGTGAGGAGGACATCTAGGTCGCTGCTCGGGCAGCACAAACTTCTTCACGATGTGGCTGAAGCCCGAGGAAGTGCTCTTGAAAAATGCGTTGAAGCTGTGGCTGACGGAGAGGTCCAACGACTACTTCGTGCTGCAGCGGCGTCGAGGCTACGGGGAGGACGGCGGAGGGGGGCTCACAGGTGAGTTGTGACCACCCGCACCTGCCGCAGGGCCGTGTGCACCTTTACTTAGAGGGTGGGGAGGAAAACAGTTACTCGCTGCCACCCGCCGCCGCCCGACCTTAGACCTTGGGCCGGGACACTGGGGTTCTCCTCCCGCCACCACCTTCCCATTTCCTTCACGGAGTCCTGAGAATGCCCCCTTGGACAGCAGTTGCTCTTTGGGTGGGACAGGAAGAGGGAGAGGGGGTTCTATCGGAGGCAAAGGAAGAATTGAGTAGCTACCCTCTGGCGTCCCAAGGGGGTGGGCGGTGGGGCTTGGGGGTGGGGGGGAGGTTGGCTGACCACTGTGAGACCCACGCGGGTCTCCTTCAGACTCAGTGACGAGCTGATGCGCAGCTGTGGACTTGAAAAACATCATCACTGGAAAAACCACACAAACTAAGCCATACTGATAGACCTATCCCCTTGGTAAGGGTAAGTGTGTGTGTGTGTTGGGGGGTGGGCGCTGTTGAGGAGAGAAGGGAGGCGCTCCCATCACATCCTGAGAGATGGGCATCGGATGAAATCATTAGAAGGCTAGGGTGAGGGGGTTATGGGGGCGGGGGCATCAAGTGTCCCTTCTGAGAGAATTGCTACCTTCTCCCAATTCAGCATCTTTTACTGTTGTTTCCAAGTTTTCAGCCCTTGGGATTCCCTTCAGAGAAGTCCATGGCCATGTCAGAATCAATCTCTCTGGAGTGTTTGGCTCTGGCTCTTCTTTCAAAGCCAGAATTCCAAGCAAAACCAGTCAAAAAAACAGAAGAAGTTTCATTCTTCCGTCCAGCCCACCCTGCCTTCAGTTCTTATATTAAATCAGCAATAGTAGCAACAACAAGAATTATTCATTAGCTCAGTGATTGGGGAGGGGCATTCGAACTTTGGGACCTTAGGCTGAAAAAGAGCTTTTTTCATGACAATTTCTTGTTTGATATTGTGGCCTGGAAATGGCAGACCAGTCATAATTTAGGCAGCGTGAAGCAGTGGCGTCACTAGGAGGGTGTAGTGTGCACCAGGCGACACTGTCAGAGGAGTGACACCAAAATAACTATAAGATGTCTGTGCAGGGTTTCAGCAGACATTTATTCTTCTTAATAAAAATAACCTTGTAGTTAGTGAATAACAACAGACATTTTTCGGAAGCCCAGCTTACTAGTATCAGTATACCTATGAGGGTAAAACTCAGTACTATTGTACTTTGTTGAACCTTTTAATGCCCTCTGTCAGAGCTGTCATTATTACCTAAGAGCAGTGATGCTTCGAAGCATGTGGTTTCAACTGGACAACAAGCACGGACTTGTTTCCTTAGTCATTGCTGACATGGTCACATTTTCTGGTGTTTGTGGTACCCATATTTTTGAAACAACTTCAAGAACGTTGGGGGTAGGGATGAAGGAATAAGTAAAGGTAAAGGGAGGAGAAACATTTAAAAAGACTTCTGCTCAGTTACTCATAAGGTTGTAGCTAACAATATAATTAAAAGTCGAAAGATTTCAACAACACATCGTTACTATTCATGTAATCTAATTGCATTTCAGCAGTTTACACCTATATCACGTATTATTCTAGCACTAAAATGGATGATAACTCTCACCAAGGATTCTGTGCGGTCTCTCTGGTAGGAGGAGGAAGTCAAGGGGAAGGAGTGGGCTGACAATATGAGTTACCATACTTGTTGACACCACCCTCTTGATGCCCTTGGCATGAAGTACTGGGCAGAGGGGTGAATCAACAACCAGCATCATCGTCCTGTGTGCTCTTACCTGCTGAATGAAATTCTACAAATTCATTCATGTATTTATCTTTGAGCCCTGTCCTCTGTGCCACAAGGAATGATGGGGCATAATGAAGATTCAGGACCTTGCCTTTTAAGTGGTTCCAACCTGGACAAAACTGGAGGTGGTGGAGGTGGGATGGGGGAAAGAGGACTCCTGACTAAACAGCCAGACAAGTTGTGATTAGAGGGAAATGACTGGTGGTTTAGGTTAAGCTTCCTGCTATTTTGCTTCTGTAAAAGGGTGTCTACCTCACAGAGTCGGGAGGATAAGATGACAGATAATAGGTGCCGAATCAATGTAAGTTGCAGTGCTGATAAACGTGTGCTGTGATATCCTTTTTGAATTCACCTCCAGATGGAGAGAATCCTGTGCTTCTCCAGGATGCTTTTATGCCTTTCTCTCAGTATACCCATAAAGCTAAATCGTGTAAGCTCTTGTCGTCCAGTTTTTAAAAAGATCCTCTGGACAATCTGAAACAAAAAATGACTTCTTAAAAGTAGAGACATCTGATCGTTCACTCTTATTTTGCAAGGGACTCTTTTCATTTAGTAGATACAAATGTTTTCAAGGTTAAAACTTGAGAATTGGTTTACATAATAGCCCAGAGATGTAAAGTATCTAGCTGAGTTCATTGAGGATAGGGCAGCATAGATTTTGTTTTGGACAGTATAGATTTGAAGCAGATAATATAGCTCTCAGAAATAGTCTTCTCATGTATTTTGGTCCTCTCTCATTTTGACCCAGAGGTTTTCTTGGATTTTATTTTTACAGTGCTCCTACCTACATTTAAAGAAGCCCTGGTGGCCAGTGAGTTATTCATTGGGCTTCTAATGGCAAGGTTAGCAGTTCGAAACCACCAGCCTCTCCTGGGGAGAAAGATGAAGCTTTCTACTCCCATGAAGATTTGTAGTCCCATAAACATTTACAGGAGCAGTTTTTTCTACTCTACTCTTTCCTATAGATTCCCTTGGGGGCAGTGAGACCCACATTTTACAAAGAAATAGATTCATTTTGTTCAACTGTGTTCGTGAAAAATTATTAGGTAAATGAAAATCTTGCTGATCAAATTGCTACCATGTAGTGTGAAATGACCTTGGACTAGTTGCCAGTTTCTGTTAAACAATCAATCCCTGCTTTCTGTGTGTGATTTTTTTCCTTTAACAGGCCAGTTGCCTCCGTTTCTTATCTCTATCCCACCTACCCCCATTTCTTGTTCACCATATCTTTGGAATAAGAGGAAATCCTTACATAGTATGTTGTAACTAGCCATCGCCCCATTTTTTTACATCATGGCCAATTTGTCTTCCTGCATGATTTTTGTCCGTGTGGTACATGGGGGCTTCAAAAAGTCCTAGGAAAACTTCCATTATCTTTTCATTCCCCCTTTCCACAAGCCGTTTGAAGGCCCCTTGTATTGTCAAGATGCTTGACATGATCGCCATTAATGCTTGAGCCCTGTTGTTATATCCCATGCAAATTAAATGAAGAGGGTGAGAATAGACCAAAAAGAGGCTTTTAAGGTTTGTTTGGTTCTTTTTGGCCCAGAGCATAAGTGTGTGCTGAGTTTCATGCCTGCTCCATTACTGTAGTCTGACTTAAAATTGTGCAGCCAAGAGCTTTGCTCTGCTTTACCACCAACCCACATTGGGATTAGTTCTCCCCTGAGCCTGACCGTGCTTGCTTTTGTTCATTTTATGTGCTAAAATCCAATATTTGGGGCTATCCCTTTAAAAGATTAGTTTGTACAGTTTGTGTAATGAAGAAAAGATAATGACCATCTAGAAATGTTAATAACTGTACTTCCTTTCAGATCTCATTTCTTTGCCATGTGATAATTGGCAATAACTACCAGTAATGTTATGAGTTTAGATGTGAACTTAGTGAAGTTAGCTGGCTACAATCTTCGCCACCCCCACACACCCCCATGATTGAATTGGTGGAACATAGAAGCCTCTGTTGGTTAACACCACAGAACCATTTGGAAATTCCAATTATGTCCCTTTTGAAATTTTTGAATTTCTACTGGATAGAAATTGCTTGATTTGATCTTACTTCATTGTCCAGGCTCACAGCAGGGTGGACAACCTTGTGGAGATTTTTGTTATACATCAAGTTACCGTATTTTATAGAAAAGGGGTTTTCCTTCATTTAGCAGAATCATTCCCCTTTCCGGATTCTTTCATTTACTTACATTCTCCCTTGCTCTTCCTAGCTAAGGGTAATGGCTTCCTATGGCACCTAAATTTAGAACCAGGTTTTGAATAATTAAAAATAATGTATGCGTATTTGTCTTATTATGCAAAAATCAACAACTTGTTCTGCTTGGCAGATGGAATCTACTACATCCATGGAATTCTGGAGCTACATTTCATTAAGTATTCTAGTGTAGTGGGACGTCGGAAGATCTGCCAGTAATCAGACTCCCTCAATCTGAGTAGTTTGTTGAGAATACTGTACTTTTTCTTGGCTGAATAGTACAAGCAGTTTCTTGAATTGATAATCTCCCTTAGGAGACCTATTTTAGAGGGTGAAAACAAAATAAATATTTTTTAATGGAAGATTTCAGACATTGTTTCTGCCTTTCTTTCATCTTGGCATCATCTCTTTGAAATTAAATCAGCTGTTAAAGCTAGAGCTTTCATTTCAAAATGTTGTGTGATATTCATATAAGTGTAACAAATCACTATATAAATGATTTGTCATAGTTAAAAAGATGTATCAAGCAGTAAAGTAACCTTTTTTTTAAAGTTCTTAATGACCATCCCTGGAAAATGTACAGCTTTTCTGCCCTTTGTTCCTTATCTCACCTAAGAAGTACAACCTTGAAAACATTCACATTAAGTGTTTTTTAGCAGAACATCCCTGTGTTCTGTGCTCACAAAGGACCCATCTGCTAAAAATGTTGACCGCCTCTCCAGTACCTCATTAGTGGGCTGGGCAGACGGTGCCCAAATGGAGGCCATGATTTCTTTTAGATAAGAAAGGGAATACTCTCAAGTCAATGAAGAAACTATCATTTGAACTTATTGAAAAGAAAATCTCCTAGGGCAACCACTCCAAGAAACCTTTCCCTAGTAATTACTTTTCCCATGTTATATATAAAAATGATTTGGAGCAATAACATTGAGTATGTCCAATTTGCAGTGAATTCCTGGCAAAAGCAAAACCTGACAGTTTTAAAAATTTTAGTCTGATATGAAAAAA